AAGGGGTAAATGTGGAAGATGTCGAAGAAATAATTCAAAAAGCAGCGGCTAGTCTTTCTAATGATGAGCTCAAGGAATTAACTGAACAAGAAGAAAACAAAAATGTTGACAGCAGTGATTCAGAAGAAGAGCAAAAAGAACTTTCGATGGCGTTTGTAAAAAGGAGTTTGTCTACCATAACTGAAATAATGGATCAATTCATTGAAAATGATCCGAATTTTGACAGGAGCTCAAAAGTAAGGCGTGGTGTTAGAGATGCTCTATCCGTTTATGAAGAACTTTTAAGAGAACAACGCAAAAGAAAAAGGCAAACAACATTAGATGCTTTTGTCACAAAAAGGCAGAACACTGAAAACGCGGAAGGCTAACTAAATATGACTGACTGAGAATTTTATTTGTTTTTTTTTTTAAGAATATTCGTTTTGTTATTTATATTTTGTTTTTATTTTTGCAAGAAATAATAATGTGGTATTAATTTGGGCTTTAAGAAATAAATGTTTGGTTTTATTTTTATTAAAAAAAACATACTTTTTAAATTTAATACCTAACCAATTTCCTAGCCATCTTCCCCTAACCCCAATATTTACGTGTAAAGATAGCCTCGTTTAGCGCTGTTTCGCATTACGCTCTACTTTGACGGAACGTATCCCCCGCGTTAAGCGGGGTCTTACTGTATTTTACGAATAGAATCACAGATTTTAACACGATAACTATTTATTTATCATACTATTTTAAGCGCAACATCACTATACGTTTTACTCTAAATGAAAACGCGTAAAATAATGTAGACAGGTTGTACTATAAACATAATATTTTATTGAAAAAAAATTACTAAGAAAGGATGAAAAAATTCAAAAACTAAAATTTATGCTTTAACAGAACTCTTTTGCAGAGTTTTATATTTCTTCATTGGGGGGAGGGGGAGTTCAAGGTTAACTATTTAAAAGTTCTCGCATAAGAAATAGTTATGAGAGGAACTATCACTAATAATGGGCTCGCATTAAACTACTTTAAATCGCAATATTAAAAAATACTTAATAAAATAATACGTCTTTAAATATTATTGGAAGCCGAAAATTTATTTCTACCTGAAAAAGGAAAATCATCATGCCATCGTTATCTGAGAGGCAAAATGCTTAATGTCATGGACTGGTATTTATTTCTAAAATACATGGAACTGTTTATTTTTATTACATTAATTTTCTTTAACTGAGAAAGGAAAGAAGAAAAGACTCAGTGCTGCCATAGACATGACTTTGCCGAATTATTTCTGAAAATGGAAAACGCCTAAACAATTCTAAGCCCATTACCTAGTCCCGATTGAGTTTTTATTACATTGTATCTTGTATACTGTTATTTTAATTTTAATCTTTCTTCATCAGATTCCTTTAAATAATATTATTTAATTAGTAAACCATACCAAGACTGAAACAAGAAACAACACTGAAATGAGAAAGAATAATAAGACTGGAGTAAGAATTAACGATTCTAAAAAGCATTTGTATTTATACGCCTTGAAATCTTTTTTTTTTTTTTTTCCTTCTTTTTTTTAAACATCATCAGACCACGCCAAAACATCGAACCTACATTTTTCGGCAATATTTACCTCAAAGAAGGCCAGAGGTCTCGCGGAATTTAATTTCAATATCAGTGTTTTATGAAAGCACAAATGTATATATATGGTGATTTTGCTATCTTCGTTACTTTTACAAATAATATTAAATTTAAACAGTCTAAACAGACATATATATACACTGTTCAAACAGAGATTTAATCGCGTTGTTTAAGTTATGCAAAGTAGAAAGAGAAATAGAAATTTCTATTGAAAACAGCATTTGATCTGGTTCAAATATATAAACAAGATAAAATTTTAATTTTAATTTGTAAAAGCTTCTAAAATACTTTAAATTGTTTATTTCCCCTTTATATTCCAAAATAATTAAATACTTACAATATCATGAAATGCGCCACTTTAAAATTTATCCCTGTTTTTTTCGATAATTTCCTACTTTCCCGTCGACCATTTCCGAAAATCAAAAACTCTCGCCAAAGAGTATGATTTAGAGCCAATAACGGAGAAGCGTTACTGGACAACATAATCATAATATCTCTGACTTCATACAGCCTGGATTAATCCCCGATAAACAGATTAATCTATTAATTTTCTAACTAAAAAACAGGAACGTGCCGCCCAGTCGGTATAGTGGTCAGGGAAGCTGACTGCGATGCCGAAGGGCCTGGGTTTGAATCTCGGAGAAGGCATGGTTGTAACTGTCCGTTCCTTCATAGGAAAGGCGATGGTAGTCCACCTATTAGGTGCCTCCATAATAAAGAGAGCACCACATCCGGCCTTGTATAGATTAATGGACTGGGTTCATTTGCAATTGTTCACAATTTGCCATTGAAAAAAAAAATTATAATAAAATAAACAGAAACGTTTTCTTTCCAAACTTCTCCTGGAATGATTGACGTTAATTTGGGCTCTCATATTTAAGTTCTTTGCATGCTGTTTTCATAACATGTTGATTATCAGATTAAAAATAACTCTGTTGATTATCAATCTAAAAACTGATTATCTGACTAAAATAACTCTGTAGCTAATCACAACTCAGTTACTTATCTCGCTAACTAGAGAGAGTAAAAATAACTCTCTCTTTTATCATAACTCAGCTTATGTGGCTAAAAATAAATCTGTTGTTTACTGTACCTCATTTGATTATCTAACTAAAAATAACCGTAACTCAGTTGATTACCTGACTAAAAGTTGATTATCGCACTAAAAATAACTCTGTTGTTTATCATAACTTAATAATTGCTTATTTCACTAAACGTAACTCTTTTGTTTATGGTAATTCACCTCGCCTGACTAAAAATAAATCTGTTGCTTATTGTGACTCAGTTGATTATCTGACTAAAAGTTGATTAACGGAAAAAAATAATTCTGTTGTTTATCACAAATCAATTGTTTTCTTCACTAAAAATAACTCTCTTGTTAAAATTAACTCTGTTGTTTACCATAACTCAGCTTACCTGACTAAAAATAAATCTGTTACTTATTTCAACTCAGTTGCTGACTAAAAGTTTATTACCGGACTAAAAATAACTCTATTGTTTATCGTAACTCAGTTGATTATGTGATTAAATATAAGCGATATGTTCCTCTAGAGTTCCGTCAAAATGACATGCGTAAGTTTGACAGCATCTCCGCCAACTTTTAGGGTCGACGGGAAAATACGTTAAGTACCGATTTTTCATATAATGCAGATGACACGTGCATATCTTAAATGGAAGACAACAAAGCAAAGTCTGTTACTCGATAACACTCAAATCGATTTTGCTTTACCTGTAAAAATATAAAGATGTCCATCTGCTTATTGAGAGTTAAAATAGCTTAGCATTCCTTAATTAAAAACTCATTTTTTCCTATCTCATGCCTATTTTCGTCCAGCTAACATGCTGTCTTCCGTTTTATTTCATCATCTGTTTTAAAGTTGTGAATCCGTGAACCGTACGTTTGTACTTACGGAATGACGAGTGTGTAACCAAAGTAAATAATAAAATTAGTAAATAAATACAGAGGGTGTTTACACTTTTTTTAGAACAATTTAGAGGATGCTTAATGACTGTTTAAAATATACTGAGTATTTTTACAAATGTTCGAACTGATAGACTCTTTCTAGAAAATACGTCTGCATCATGATTTCCTTGATAAAAGAGCTATTTCCATAATTTTCAGGGGTGTTGATTTCCATTCCTCTTCCATTACTTTCTAGAGTCCACCAATCGTGATGGGCTTGAGCTTAGAAAGAGCTCTTTTCAAAACACCATACAATAGTCCATAGGTGAAATGTTAGGGAACTTCGCAGGAGAACCGTTAAAGGAGGTATATATGTAATAACTGTATCAGTCTTCATTTTTTAAAGGAATTTAGTGGTACATTTCGAAGTATGACTTCCTGTTTTGCCTTGATGAAGTTTCACGCTTTGAAAGTCAGTGAGATAAAGAAATGGATTTTATTACTATCGTATACTCTTTACTGAAACTATCTTTGCATTGACGGAACTAGGCTTGTACACTTTTTTCTCTTCGCTTTCTAAAATAATTACACTTTTTTAAGTCAATTAGTTAAACCCAGGATTCATTACATGTCACAATCTATTTCCATTTATCTCTTACTAAATGGTTTTCATACATGTTCTACCAATTGCCCTGCGTCGCGGCACATGTCTCGGTAAAAACTGGCTAACACTATGTTTTATAGCTTTAAGTCGTAAAGCTTGGTTATATTTTTATTTATCGTTGCAACAGTTGTAAACATTGTATAACTTTGCAATTGATTTGCAACTTTACAATATATGAACAACTTTACAATTGATTTTTGCGTCGGTGGATTTTTCCTTGTTACCAATGTTTTAACTTTAGAATATCAGAAATGGTACATACGATTTTCAGGTATTTGTTTGGAGTCTTCTTTTCTATGTAGAAGTAATAACTAACGGTTTTCCCCTTTCCTATAATTAAAATGGTTTATTTTTGCACTTCGAAATTTTAATACCATGCATTGCACAACGTTTTGGAATAATAAAATAGAATGTTTGTCTTCTGAAGCGCAGAAATGTATCATTTACTTTACAGCTTGATTACATCTCATATTTTGAAAGGGAAATGAATTAAAAATATTATAATATTTCGCATTTCAAATAATAAGCTGTTGTCAGAAATTATTATTCCAAAATGTTAGTTTTTTTCTCAATTCTTTACCGAAATCGTTCCAAAAATGTCTAAACTAAGTTTTTAATCTATAAACATTGGTATTGTAACCAAGTGTCTTAATCAAATAGTGTAAAACATTTAATTCTACAAAATACGAAATTTACGTGAAATATTTGCAATGTATTAAATACATACGTATAACATTAAAAATTCGAATTCATTGGAAAAAAATTCTGTGCTATATGTGAATATTTATTTTCTAATTGTTTTTCGTGTGAAATACAAAATGGCAGAAAACAACATTTTTTATATTCAGTATTAAGTGGTTTACATTACATGCTTGAGCCATAAAAATATACAGGTGATCTCTAATTTGTCACAAACATAAAATTTCATTCACGCAGAGATTTCCTGGAATCGTGTTCACTAAGATTAGTGATAGGTTTCTCTTCTTCCGTATCTTCGATGTCCGGTTGACGTATGAGTCCAATTTCAGTTGCTACCCATTTCACTTTCTGCGTTAATTGTTCTTGCATTAAGTTGATGCACATACTCACTAAAGCCATACCCAGCATCATGTAGAAACAACAACCCATCAAAGTAAGAGTTTTAGCTGCAAGGAAAAGAATACAGCCATATACAACAGTAATAAGTAATAATAATTATAGTTTTCATCTTATGGGGAAGAAAGATACAGAATTCAACAGCTAATTATACGGTTAATATAATTTATGATATTATAAGAACTTAGGTAAGTTTTTCTTTCAGCATGGCAACAATTCCAATTTTCTGAAATAACGTTTCATACTTTAGCACCGATCCTATGAAGCGTTTTCTCTTTATAGTGGCAAAAATAAACTCGCCTTTATAAGGATACTGTTAAACAGGAAGTTAAAGGTTTACCTATTGAAACATAAAGTATTTACGCCCTGAATTAACTATAGGGAATATAGGTATAAATTGCATATGTTTTAGGAATAAACTATTGACAAATATTTAATCATTAACTCAAAAATAACCTTCGATGAATCTTAGGAAACATACTTTGTAAGTAAATATAAGAAGGAAATATAATATATATTACCTAAAAAGTAGATACACAAAGATATACTTTAATTATGTGTGCAAAAATCTAAATCATATAATGTCCATTTATACATATGCTGCTTATACGTTCCTCGTTTTCACGTTTCGGACTACGTGGTTCTGATTGTTATACACGTATGTTTAAAACCCCAAAATAATTCAATGAAATATTTTGAAGATCCGAAGAGAAATTTGGCTTTGATTTTGGGGATTTTCAATTGAAAATTAAAAAATAATAATGTTATCCTTCTTTTCTTGGAATCACATCATAGAAAAGGGGTAATTTACTACACCAAAAAATGGTTGCTTGGTTTCACTTGTTGCATTTTCCAATGTTAATAATAGTTGTTCTCAACATCCTCTTCAACAAATTTTGCATATTATTTTCGTGCTGGTATCGTTCATAGAGTATGAAGATTTTCGAAAACGATTGAACAGGTAGAAGAGTAAGAGATAATTAATAATGCAGTGAAAGAAGATAATAATTTAAACTTTTTTTAGACAAGCATTTGCCACTTGTAATATTGTAAAATAATATTTAACTAAAGATAATTTGAACAAGAATAAAAAAATGGTATTAATAACAGCGAACAATGAAATTTTGACGTCACACGCTAGAAGATCGCAATGAACTAAAATAACGACTCATTTTAATAGAAAAAATGCAGAAGGCCAATTTTGGTTCGGTTTTCGTAAGAATTTCAATCAAGGTATTAAATGTATTTCATGTATCTTTTAATTAAGATTATAATAATTTGCACTATGATTTTAAATTGAAATTTGCTTAAGGATGATCCTTATCTTAGGGAAATAAGGGAGGGAAAGAAAATAATGTCTTGCAGTATAATATTATTCAGAATATAAGAAGGTCTTGTATGCAAGATGACTGCTGGTTAAACTTCTGTAATGACTCTTTGCAAAGAAAGTTCTAATTAGTAAATTGTTCCTCAGCATATTAAAAAGCTTAGGGGAAAAAGGGGGCGGGGTGTTAAAGAAAATCATGTTTTGAATTACGTAGAACTGAATCTAAAAAAATATTTGTTGGAGTTATGGGATCTAAATCGCTTTCACAGGATGCAAACAAAAGGTAATTTCAGAGAAAAAATAAAATGTTTTCATCTATGTTATGAGAAACCCATGCTTAGGTTTTTCAGTTCCTCTGACGTTATACAGTTCCTGAATCCTCATAGAAAACTAATTATACGTCGTGTAATTTTGACTGCATGATAATTTTTTTTTAATTATCCTTCGTTTCAGTTTTTCCCAGCGGCCGAGCGGTAAAGTTGCTGAACACTGGTATTTCGGTCCGAGGTTCGAATCCCGCGAACGGGCTAGCTGCATGGACGTTTTCGTGGTTTTCGTCATATATAACATGTATACGAGCCAGCTTCCTTTAGAAAGTCCTCCCCGAAAACAAAATTTTTCGGAATACATGCACTGTTGTAGTATTACTGACATTCCTGGAAGCACTGGTGGAATGTATCTGTTACCGTGAAAGACCGAAATTGGAGAATGTCGACTTTCACCGGAGAATGTCAACATTCACCAAATACGTCGGTGAAAGATCGAATATTGTATTACATTCTTGTACATTCGGACCCTCACCGGTGTATGTCGACAATCACAGATATGCTCTGGTGTAGGTCGAAAAGAGAGGGCATAAAGTGCCATAATAGTTTAAGTTGTTGCAATAAATAAGATTTGAATCACATAATTTAGTAAGACTTTTATGACTATTATTTTATTTTCTCATTTAGAACGTACTGTATAATTAAGTAAGTTTTTAACTTCTATTATTTTCCTTTCTCATTTTGAACGTACTGTGTGTTTTATGTTCTTATGTTCTTATTTTAGGTTTGAAGTGCGTTTTTTCGCGACTGAATTACGGAGAAGAAAATATAATATTCTTTTATGTTCAACATTCACCATTAGTACATGGTGAATGTCGACATTGACCGGTGTAAGTCAGAAATAAGAGTATTTGGAAAATACTTCGAACATACACCAAGCGACTATGTGAATGTTGACATTCACCGGTGAAAGTCGACATTCTCCAGATTTCGGTGTTTCACCGTAACATATCTATTACAGATTGGACGTTGTTTCATTGTCGGTAAAAGTTCAACCTATAAAACCATGTTGCCAAGAAAGAAAAGCGAGATCAGAGGGGTGTGGAAATTGACAGGTAAAGTGACTGTGGCAAGGCAATGATCTGTAACCTAAGCTGATTAAGAAACCCAAGCTTATTTTCTAGATCAAGTTTTCACACGAAATCGTCTAAAGATGTTTTAAGTCCGTTTGCAACACAACACGAATATGTTGCTCAAATGAGGACATTTCCCACAGCTCTTTGGCAGAGATCTGACTACATCCACTGAGAGCCAAATTCAATTACTGCAACTTTCAAACACCTTTTCCAAAAAAAGTTTGAAAAGAGGGGTGTTTCTACCAAATGACGTTCCATAGATGAAATTTTTACAGTCTGCAGAAACTACATTATTTCTTAATTTGAGTCATGAATGCACAGGCAGTCCTTCAGAATTCATAGCAATAAGTTGGGCAGTATTATTTCCCTTGTATGCTAATAACTCACCGAAAGCAAATAACGCACGTGCAAAGTACTTAAAAGTTAAATTGCTTACTTAAATGTCGTGCTCATTCCACATTTCTTAAAAAAAGGGTCAAACGCTTTTTTAAAAATTTAATTACAAATATTTGTTTGAAATACTTAACCCTTGAACAATCACTTTACCACAGGAACTTTAAGCATTTTCTTTTCCTGCATATTATGATTTCCATCTTTTTGCTTTTTCTTGCTTTATTTCATCTTTCAAGCTGCTTTTTGAAAGGAATTTGTCTTTCTTTTCGTGGAAAAGAAAAAATTTCTGTGAAGAAGCTTCTCAAATATCTTCTCAGAATTTTTATTTATTTGTCTTTTCCACGTTCTTCATCAGGATTTGTCTTTTTGCTTTTGAAATGACACACTTTAAGTTAAGTATCCCTTTTTAAATTTTATGCTGTCATCTTGCTGAAAGAATGGTTGAATGAATGGCTGTCATGCTCGTTGAATGAAAAAACGTATGATGGAACACGTACATAAAAAAAGTTTCTTCGTTATAGAGCAAGAAACAGAACGGGAATTCTAGCGTTATAAGGCTATCTGCATTATACTGAAAGTAAACGCTTCATCCACCAAAGAAATAATCACGCGTTTACACAGCATAAGATAGAATTGACTAATTATGAATATGATTAGAAAGCATGTAATAGAGAAAATACCGTTTTTGTGGGTTTTATTAACAAAAGAATATCAGGAAACAGCAAATACAACAAAAAAATACAAAATACGCACAGGTAACACATGAAAAGTAAATATCCTACTATTACTATTATTTTACAAAAATTAAAAACAGCCATATTTAGAATATATTATGTGGAATGAAAAAACTAAAACTTATGTCTTTGTTATACGCTAAAGTTCAAAATTCAGAAAATTTTCATATTTGGTCTTTTAAATCTCCAGAACTGATGGGCAAATTTTATTGAAATTTGGTGTTAACATAAGTACATAGATTCATATGATACGAACAAGTATACCGTACAAAAAGTCATGGTACACTTACTTGATCGTGCTTAAGGCTCATTGCCACAGGAAGGTCTAAGGCAAAGTTTGCAAAGTGGAATAAAAGAAAAGGCTAATGCGGGATATGGTTTCAAGTCAAACAGCATTCACAACGCGACTTTATCCTGGAAATAAGGCAGTTCATGAGACTCTGTGACACTAATGCAACAACGCTGTTTTTGTCGCCCAACCGAGGCTGACTGTTGTACCGAAGGGTTGGGTTCGAATCCCGGAGAAGGCATGGATGTTTGTAAATGTACAGTGTCTATGCGGCATGGGGGAACTCTAAATATGCGACGAGCCGAAGGTCCAGTCGAGAGGTTTAGGGTAGAGGAAGAAGGGACCTTCTCCAAAGGTCGACCATTCTCCGAAGGTATCTTCTTCTTCTTCGAAGATAATATTTTTACTTAATCGTTATTTTAATTTGTTAGCCTTTTCTACATTCTCTTATTCCCTTCGCATTTTTTCGTTAAGATGTAAGTTAGCTAGGTTGAACGAGGGTATTTAAATTGATGTAGCGAAAGGTTTAGTCAGAGCGTGGTTTCGCTATTGTGAGCCCACGCTGCTATTTCTTCCAGCTGTTAACCTTAAATATCGGCTTCGCATTCTTGCTACCAAATTATTATCCTGGCGGTGTAGATTCTGAGTCCACCTGTTAGATTAAACTGAATTATGTAGCCCCTTACTACTCCTAACTTTACATTTAGTATTATGTATCTTTTAAGTTCTCACCGCAAGTGGTCGGTGTCCGTAAGCATGTAAGTCCATACCATCTGTAAACTATATTGCGTTCAAATAAAGGGCCTTTCACACCTTTTCCTTGGTTATAGTCAACATCAAGACTTTGCGAACACGTAGGTAGGTGTAGGTACATTTTATGAAAGCATAGAAAACTAGATCCTAGA